CTCTTTAGGTAGCTTGATCGTGGCTCTCCACAACTTCCTATCTTTCATATCTCTTAGCAATGTTTGTCTTTTTACTCTTTCCCATTCTCTTTTCTGCTATCCATTTACATATGATTGTTTGGTAGATAACTCACTCCCCCACCAATCCTTTTTACATTTTATGTCTTGTGAATGATAAATTTTTTTCCCCAAGAATTCTTTCCACATTATGTGCCTCAGAAATATCAATTCTTTCTGATTTTAGGTCACATTTATGTTACCATTTTTCTTAAAACTTCCATGCTTTATTCAGATTATTCTCATTATCCTTCTGTAGAACCATATCTCTGTCACTTTAAGTCTCTTCTTCATCTGTAAGGAAATTGTCCAGCATTCACTGCCATATAGAAGGATTGATATCACTTAGTAATTCAGTCTTCTTTTCTTTGTTTCTAGCAACATTTTTCTATTTGTTAATACTTTTAGTTTTTGGAAGGCATTTATTTACTATTTCAATACACCTTCAAATTTCAGGGTCATATTTCCCATCAGCTGTTATTTAAACTTCTGTATTTTGTAGTTTACATTTTACCTTAAAAAATTTAAATGCAATGTCAACCATTATCTTCAGTCTTAATTCCAATTCTTTTATTGTCTGCTCTCTTAATAATTTTTTCTCATATTCTCTCACATTCAGTAACCCTTTGCATCACTGACTTTATTGCCCTGCTTGGGGTGAAATGATTATATATACATGTACATGCACTACAGGTAAAATGCTTGGGGTAACTCTGCATTTATTTAAAAAAAAAAAAACTTAAAATGGAAGATTTTTATATATTTTTTTATTTTAACAAAAAATTATCATATAACTGCATCATATTTTGTTTTCATCAATAAAACTACCATCTGCCTTAATTATTGTTTTACAACTTCTAGGCATTCTTTCCAACAGTTTTTGAAAAAAAAATGAATGGCATACATTCACAAGTATTCTTCAAGGACTGAAAAGCTCACTCTCACTTTTTGGGTATTCTTTTTTAATTTTCCTGTCCAATTCATCTCATACTAATTCAGTAGGAGAAAAGTCAGGAGGTGGCTAAGTCATAATTTCCAAAATTTTGTTACCTTAAGCCAAGAAAAAAAAGTAACTCTGACATAATTTAGAAGTATTTTGATTGTTGGTTTGTTGAAAGAATTTTTTTTGTATAGCATTTCTTTGTAAAATCTGAATGATATTGTTCTATTTTTCCTGATTTCCTTGACCTGAAACAAATCTCCAGCCTTCTCTCCTCTTAAAACACCCCCACACCATAACAGACCCACCACTATTCTTCTGTTGGACCCACACATTCATCATTCAGTCTTTTTTCTGACATACACTCTCCTCTTACTAGCAAAATGTTCAAATTTGGACTCATCTCTCCTCAATGCATTTTGTCACTCTTTCAATGTTCAGTTCTTATGCTTTTTTTTTTTTTTTTTTTGTTTATAACAGTCTTTTCTGATTATCCATCTTCTATAACAGGAGTTTCTTGATGGCTATGCACACTTTGATCTAAGTTGATTTTTTTATTTTTTTCACATTTGAGATCACACTAGTTGCTGTCAAGAGCAATTAAGAACCCTGGAGCAGTTTTCCCTTTATTTCTTTTGCTCTCAATGATTGAGTGTTTATCTTCATCAACATTTATCACTTTTGGTGCTCTAGGTCTTTTTCTCTCAACATTTGCACCAGTTTCTAACTGCCTTGGTAATGAATGTTGCAACCCATGTCTAGAGATTCGTCAACTCCTTGGCAATTTGTCTTTGAGAGTTGCCTTTTTTTTTTTTTGGATAAAATTTCAATTTGTGCAATCACCTCAATGCTTAGCTGCTTTGATTTTGTGCAAATTATTTAAAAAAAAAAAAAAACTATGAAAGTTCTGTCATAATGAGACAACTACATATGTTTTGTTTACAGCATTAATCAGTGCTGAGTTAACGTTTAGAAACTGTATTAGCATTTAACGTAGTAGACTTTTTGAGATGAGCAAAATTTTCAACTGAGTGGTTCAGGGCAAAAACAAAATATGCTTCTCATATGAAATATTAATAATTTAGCAAAATATATTGTGGACAGACAAATTTGAAATGTTTGATAGTAAGAAGAGCATAGAGAAAAACAAATAGAAGCAAATGCACTGTTGTTATTGAAATTGTATTTTTTTACTTAAAAAAAATAAAATATCTCATTTTAAGGTCTTTTTTTAAGAAATGCAGGGTGGCCCTAAACATTTCGGCTGTAGTGTGTGTGTGTGTGTGTATATATATATATATATATATATATATATATATGAGGACTATTTTCTTCATTACCCTTATTACATTGTCTGCTTCAGTTGGTTAAAGGCCAGAAATCTTGAAATTTCTAATATTGCTCTTTCTCTCTCCACAAGCTAATCCATGGATTGAACTTATCCTGTTTGCTGGGCACAGACCCAAAATTTTAAACCAGCTCTTATGCTTTGGGATATGCCATTTTGGACACTTTTTTAAAAGCCTTAAATCTGTTATCTTAATTAATGCCTCTATCTACTACTGGAGCCTTAAGCATGCAACAACAGATTTAGGGATAAGACTAAATATATCTGACAGGATATGCAGGTAGTGTATTTTGACTCAGAAAGTGGAATTGGCAAGTTCAAATTTGCACTAATGCTCCTGGAGAATGCATGACATCGTCTCTTTTTCCTCTGGTCTGGTTATAGATTAAATAGAGTAGATTGGTTGCCACCAACTAAAGACTAGAAAAACCAAACTGAAGATGTCAAAGAGAAACCATTCCATCATTTTTCTCAAGGATGATTGGCAATTCATGGAGAATGAAGCAAAAAAAAGAAAAAAAATTCTAGAGAATTATGATTACCTACATCCTGAAAGGAAAGGTCTTCCTTTTTTTTTTTTTTTTTTTGGTGTCAATATTAGTGCTAAGCTTATTGATTTGATGATTTTGTATACAGGCACATCAAAATAATAGAAATTGTAAAATCAGATTATAGGAGGCACAGTGGAGAAATGGATTGCAGCTCAGAATCGAGGAATTGGAGAGCTGAGTTTGAATTCCTGTAGAATTTGTTACATTCCTGTACATGCTAATACCCCTGGGAAAGGTATGAATCTATCTCTTCTCCCCTCAGCTTTGGGTAAATAGCGGGACAGAATGGGTTGTATAGCCTTGGGTAGCAAGCAGTCTACAAAAAGGAAAACTCTGAATTCAAACAGGCCTGAAGAGCGTTAGGCTCCATCAGGCTATCTTGCCCAAGACACACCACTTCTATTGTAGCTGCAGTACATGTAGTGCTACTACAACTTTGAGTTACAGGACTCGTGATTGTGATATATGACAGGTATCAAATCAAATGGATTTCCTTGACATTTCTGGAAGATTATGAAATATAATGGGGATTTGAAGAAGATGAGGAAATTTATTATAGACATTAATAAGAAAACTGGTCTACACTGTAGAGTTAGTGAAGGTTGATTTTCATTCTTTGAGTCATGAACGGGTGTGTTTTTGTAATTTAGCCAAGCATTGTCGATTTCTATTTAAAAACTTTGCAACAAGAATTTAGCTTGAGTTACTAACAATGGAAGAACAAGAAATATTTTCTCCAGCTTCAAGTCATTCATTAAATAGAACAGAAATAAAGAATACTTTTCAATGAGACTCAATGTTCCATCATTTAGACGTTGGGGAGCCAATTTTTACTATGACAGCTGTGCTACTGCTTAAGTGAAGGCTGTATTATTGGTATTGGCTATGGAATCACTGAAGAAAGAAAACTAAAATTAAGACAAAATAAATATGAGATTAATATATAATGACTGACAATGCATCATCTAATAATAATAATAAAATTCAAAATAATATTAATGCTAATGGAGTAAAAACAAATGAAATTAATATAAAAGAAATCCGAGTTAAAATGAATAATGGTTGACAATATATTAGTAATATTATTTTGAATTTTATCATCAGATGAAGTATTATTAACTTTTAACTGGTATTTCTTTTGTCTTAATTTCACTTGCTTTAGTTATACTAGTAATAATAATAGCTTAAATATTATTAATAATACTGTTCATGTAAACAAAGTAAGTGAATTTAGTATGAAAAAATGCTAGTCAAAATGAATAATGGCTGACAATGCTTCATCTAATAAGAATAAAAGTCAAGATAATATTACTACTAATACTACTAATGGAATAAAAAGAAAGTGAAATTAAGATGAAAGAAATCCTAGTCAAAAATGAATAATAGTTGACAATACTTCATCTAACAAGACTAAAGAAAAAATAACAATTCACATAATTTATATATATATATATATCTTCTGTTTTCATAATTTTTTTTTTTAATTTGTTTGGTCAGGTATTTAAAAAAAATGCTTTTATTAGTTACCGTCTCAGATTTGGAAAGTACTGATGTTAGATCAAAAGAATAAAAGTAACCGAATTTACTACATTTAAATTTCTAGACAGAGTCCTTCATCAAAAACAAAACAAAAAAAAGTAAGGGAGAGAAGTAGACTCAAACTTTGATTTCTTTACTATTTACATAAACTTTCTTCTCTTTTTTTGTATATTTTTTGTATTTTTTGTCAGAGTCACTTTGCCATTCTTTTCCACCCAAATGTTACTGAGATTTACAATTTGAACACAAATCATTCTTAAAAAAGAAAAAAAACCAAAGCTTCTGAGGAAAGACAGACAGACAAAATCTAAGAAAGAAAAAGTAGCAAAAAAAAAACAAAAAGGAAATAAATCAAGAGAATTTAAATCAAAAAGTAAACATGTTAAGAAAATATACACATTGGCTTCTTTGGGGAGTTTGTCATCTCAACAACCATTGAGCCACTTTCCTTCCTGTTAAATAGTAAAACAGTTATTTACATGAAGTCATCATTTCCACTTTCCCTCCTGGTAAATAGTAAAACAATTATTTACACCAAATCATCATTTCCACCATTTGACAGGAACTAAAACATTTTCGGATGGTTGGACCATCTTGTGCGTGTGTACTTCTTGTGAAAGAGTTCATCTTCTTCGTCAGAACTAAAGTCATGATACTCTTTTTTCAGTAATTTGGCACCGACAGTGAAATCGGTCATGTCATCGTCTTCATACTCCTGGAAATTGGGAAGGTTACTATCAATCTTATGGAAGCCCTGTTCACGATACCGTTCCTCCCCACAAAACCGGGAACACAGAAGGAAAACAACAATGACAAGGACCAGACCTGTGGCAGCTGCTGCAAGTACAAAAAAGACAAAATTAGTATGCAACAGACAAGAATCAAAAGGTTTTATATATATATATGTTTAAAAAAATTACATCAGCTGATTGTGCTACCTTGGTTTCAAACTATCGCTATCTTCAGACATCCTGGGATAAATATTTTCCTAACACTTTATTATTTAAAAAGTAAATAAACACACAATGCGAATCATAACAGAAGGAGAGGAGAAAAGCAAAAGTATTGAAATAACATTTCCAGATCAGAAAAACCTTCTGAATGAGGGATCTGAAATAATGACACTATGCATATGCACAAAAAAAGTTCCTTTTGAGGTCATATGAACAAGGATGAAAGTATGTTCATTTCATATAACCCACCCCCCTCCAATACAATTTCAATTATCAATACAGTTAAAACTGCAAACCTTTGCTTTTTTATTATAGGTAACTATATAGTAACTTTATTGCCACCCTGTGTGTGTGTGTGTGTCTATATATATATATATACACACACACATGCACAAACATACACACATATTGCAGTTTGAACAGTATTGATAATTAATTTACTAAAAAAAAAGGAAGGGTATTGAAATTGTATTGGAGGGGGGTGGGTTATATGAAATGAACATACTTTCATCCTTGTTCATATGACCTCAAAAGGAACTTTTTATGTGTGTATGTATCACGTCATTATTTCAGATCCCTCATTCAGAAGGTTTTTCTGGCCTGGAAATGTTATTATTTCAATACCTTCTCTCTCTCTATATATATATATGGATGGTGGCAATAAATCACTATAGAGTTACTTACAATAACAATTAAGGCAAAGCAATTAATCAACAGTCCAGAAATTTATTATTAAAATGGTTCTGGTTAATAACAATAAAATGCTATGGTAAACAATAGTAAATTAATTACTGATACTATTTGACCTGCAAACCACTTACTTCAATCCTTTGCTTTTTTTTATTATAAGTTACTGTATAGTGACTTTATTGCCACACTTTATACAAACACGTGTTTAGCTGTAATTTTTGCAAGTCTGCTATCATATGACCCTCTGAGTGTTAAGGAAACTACCATTTGTTCTTTAGCTGATGCCAGGTCAAAGAGGCAACATAAGTAATTATATATTCTCTATTATTGAGTCTGGGATTCTCTAAGACACCATGTGTCCCTTTTCTCTATTATTGTTTGTTTGTTTCAAATTGTTATTGTTTGAAAAGTGTTTTCATGTTTCTTTGAAATGTATTTTGTTTATTCTATTTCCCTTTTGCAGATACTTATTCGTTTCTGGTTTTCACATGGTGTATTTCCTAAATAAAAGAATTAACATTAGTATTGGAACTTTTTCATTGAGACCAGTGGCCAGTTTTATAAACTCACTTACAGAATGCATTTCTCTCTCTGCTGTGTACTTGAGGATGTAAGTGATCATAGCTCTCCACAATTTCCTATCCTTTATAACTCTTAGTATAGTTTGTCCTTTTGCCATTCCTTCCACTCCCTGTTCCGCCATCTTGTTAGGTAGGTTACTTGGTGTTTTCCTTTGTACTCCTTGTGAGTGTCAAATTTTCCAAGCCCCTTCATTATGTCTCTCAGAAATTTAAATTCTGTCTTTCTGATTCCAGTATAAATGCCCCTTTTGTTCATGTTTTCCTTAAATCTTCCTTGTTGCTCACATGTTCAGTCCATGGTATTCCCAGCATCTTTCTATAGAACCACCAATTTCTGTTGCTTCAAGTTTTGTTTATCTATAGAGAAATCCAGTATTCACTACCATATATCTATTAAAACACTTCCCAGATATCTAAATTCTGGGGAGGTGGGGAATGGATTCATACCTTTCTTAAGGGTATTTGTTGAAAGTGAATGTAATAAACTTTACTCCCAAAATTCTCCTTCCAAGTCACTAATTATTTGTATAAATAGAAAAAATATATATATATATATATAATGCAAGAATATGGTCCCAGTGGTTTTCAGTCAGGGGGAGAGAGTGCCATTCAGTTTGCTACCCACAGTTATGGTCTGGTGCCAGACTCTGTCATTTAGGTGATCATGTCTTTGGGTGATTTATGATTGACTAGGTAGAAGATTTTCCTGTAGCATGTTACAATTTCTTTACATGGTAGATTGGTTGCTCATGAAGACTAAAGGACCCAGTCTGTCCTGCTATTCAACCCATAGATTTATACCTTTCCAAAAGGGTATTTGTGCTTAAGTGAATGTAATGACCCTGACTCTTCGATGTCTCATTTCAAACTGTTATCCATTGCATCACAACACACATCCTGAGACTAAGTCACCCAGATTTCTCTTTGTTCTATTTTGTCACATTGGGTGTGGTGTTCCACTTATATAGCTAGATCCTTGACTAAAACCAAAAAAGAATCTGCAATGTTGTCAGTCCTGACCTGGCATCTCCGCATCAGTCATTTTCTCACCAGCAAAACACAGCTTTCCTGGTTCTTTTCTATCAATATTTTCATGGCAATTGTTCTATTTGGCTTTCATCTTTGGTACTTTGAATTCACAAATTTAAGCATAGTACTAGATTGGCAATTAGGTTTTGTTATTTTTCTGTTGAAATAGCTCTGTTCTAATAGTTGTTTTCCCTTGTACCTCTTATCTGTGGTACCGTCTTCTCACTCTCCTGTAAATTATGATCTTCAAAACTTTAAATGTAGCATCAATCGCCATCTTGTTTTCATCTATCCTTGTCTTTTAATGTCCTTTATTCTTAATAATGATTTCTCATTTTCTTTCAGTTTCAGTGACATTATTGCCTTGCTTGGGATAAAATGAAAAAAAAAAACAAACTAAAGAGATACTTACCTGTAATAAGAATTACCAGTAATGCTGAAAGGCCAAAAATAGTAGCCTCTCTTGTCATAGCAATAGTGTACTTTTCAGAAAACTTTCCTTCAACAATTTCAAGATGCTGTAGAGAGGAAAAAAAATTATTTTTTTTATTCATTGATAGAAATATAGGCATATATGAACAGATTGGGCTTAAGGTACACAAAGTCTTTGAATAATCACACATGTCTACATATCAGACGACTACTTATTGATTGTATAAAGATGATCTTATGGGAAATGTTGTTACTTATTGTATCCTTAGAAATTGAAAATAAAGGAAATAATAAAACTGATTCTATATCATGTTTTTCCTACACACATACCCTAAAAGGAAAACCATTGTTTTGCTTACATTTCATCACATGATCTCTTGCAAATACTGATTCTTCTTCCTCTATATCTAAACAGTTACAAACAGCCTGGTGTGCTAATGACCATTTACTTATACTTCATCAACAATCACAAAATAACTACATTACTGTATGATAATAGTACATTCCACTTTCAACATCCGTAAAAGGATTTTTATTTGAAAAATAAAGGTTGTATGTAATCCTAAAATTGTGTTATTTAACACCAAAATGATAATGAATTTTTAATGAGAAATGAATATTATGTTATCCAAAATGTTATTAATTACTGCTGTAATTAAAACCACCATGATGATTATTGAAAGTTTAGTGAAAGATAAAGGTTGCTGTGAATGTAATCGTAACTCAATGTTTACATTTATTCAGCTGAGCTTGCATGGATACAAGTTGATTTCATTGATATGGAATTATTCTTTGAATAGGCAATTTATTATTAAGTTATGACAATAATATATAAGGCAGAAAAGATTTTTATTACTTTTATTATCTGTTTATTTGATAATGCGAATCTCTTCATGTACATTATTGGTTATCGCACCGAGGCTGAGGTTAGCCTACCGACAAACATCTCTCAGAATTTAAGATATCTTTTTCAGAATTGTTCTATAAGATGACCGCCAATTTTTAACAGAATTTAAGATATCTTTTTCAGAATTGTTCTATAAGATGACCGCCAATTTTTAAGGGTGATTTTAAGGTTGTCTTATACATGGAAATATCAGCATATTTGCATGAAACAAAACATACTTAAAGATTCCTATCACTTCTGCTCTGTGCTCTATCTCTTCAGGACATAGATGATCATGGCTCTTCACAATTTCCTATCTTTTGTAACTCTTAGTAAATTTTTATCTTTTTGTTATCTCTCCTTTTTGTAAGGCTGTTCAAACCTCTTATGGCACTAATGGGGGATCAAGGAAAGTTTTGACTTACCTGTATCCAGTCATCGTAACCCTCAGCTTGAATGGTAACAATATAAGAACCAGGGGCAAGGTAGACCCAGAATTGACCTTTCTCCCCTCCAGAATAGACAGCTGAAGACTCAAAGATATTCACAGAGGCATTGATCACAGGTAGTTTTGTAGTATTATCAATGAGTACACCGTGGAAACCTTGATGCACCTGTAAGTAGTGAATGAAATCTTTTTCTTTTTAAACAATAATTAAAACACCTCCTGCCAAATGACATATATGTCTCTTATGGTATGTTGTATATATTGCTTCTGTTGCACATGTGCATCTCTTCCAAATGTTTTTATTTTAAGCATTAGAAATAATGATAAATATTCTCATTAGGATTATTGGATTAGATTATTGGATTCTCATTAGGATTATTGTTTTGTAATCAACCTTGATTTCTAGAACTGTTGCTTTTCTTTAGCAAAAAAACACAACCATGATACATAAATGCATCACATGACACAAAAGAGACAAAGAAAAAAAAGCTACTGATGAGAATACCCATTACCATAAGTTTTTATAGTTTTACCTTATATACTGATAGACAGGGTGCGATGGATAAATTGTCTAAATTACGCAAAAATGAAAATAACACTGAAATCTCATTTATTACACAAAAATGTTTTGAAATAATAAAGAGTAAATTTATTCAATAAAATCATCATTCACTTCAACCACTGCCGCCAGACAACTTCAGAATCTCCTGCAACTCTTTTGGACAGTCTCCTTGTTTAAATTGGTGAATGCTACCATTATGCTTGCCTTCAGTTCATCTTTGGTGTTACAAGGAGTTTTGTAGGTCCCTCGCTCACCTGCACCCCACATATAATAATCAAGGGGGTTGCAGTCTGGGCAGTTAGGTGGCTAGATGTACGGGATAATGTGGTCACAGAAATTGTCTGACAGCTATGACGAGATTCTCCTGCATGGTGCAGAGTCCTGTTGCCAGACATAGGGTCTTCCAGAAGCCACCCTCTTGACCCAGGGCAGCACTACATCCTCAACGCACTTGATGTAGGCTTCCGTGTTGAGTCTAAGGTCCTCACCAACAAATTTGAGTTTTTTTCTTATCAGATGGATCAGAGTCAGTTTTACGAACTGCCGTACCTTCATAATCACCATCAGATTCATCCATCTCTTTCTGAATCCTCTGCACTGTCCTCAGATTCTTGCCCACAAATGCAATGTTGCGAGCCTTTCGCTACTCTACTGATATTTCCAGGTTTAGTTCCACAATGCTATGTCCACAGAGTTGAATCATTCTCATTCCCTCCATATTCCAATGGATGATGGAACTTCCAATTCCCTCCATATTCCAATGGATGATGGAACTTCCACTCAATCAGCTTTTTCCCCAAGAACTGCTGCTTTGTGGAACAAAGTCCAGAGTGTATGCTTCTCTGAAAACTATAATCTTAATCTCTTCATGTCAAAGGTCAATCATTATCTGTCCTATTTAACCTCCCTACTTCCTCCTCTTATTCATATCAGACACTTTGAGTGGCTCTTGAGCTTTCTATTGGTTAAATTTTAGTATAAAAAAATTGGTTATTAATTACAAGTGTTTTTTTTTGTTTGTTTTTTTTTTTTAAATGTTTTAGGACTTCTAATTTTTTATCAAAATGCTGCTATCTGAAGCTGTTCACTTAAAAACATTTGAAAGAATTAAATCACAATGATTTAGCAACTATTGACATACTTAGCCGGTAAAAAAGAAGATGGCTTCTTGAAAATGTCACATTATTGTCATGAATTCTCTTTGCTTTTATATTCTAACCAACAATGCCTTTCTTAGGCATTTGCTTCTAAATTGTTAGACATGAAATTGCTGTTAACAGAAATGCATTTCTTACCTCTTGTAGTAGATTTAATAAGGCCATTCGGTTGTCTTTCCAATACTGGAGAAGATCTTTCTCAGCGGGAAATTTGCAGCAGCCTAAGTAAATACTCACAGCTCGACTATGAGACACAACGGAGGCATAATCCTGTTAAGAAAGATTTGATAATTGTCTTAATGAGAAATGAAGAATTGATATTTATGTATTTTTTTTTTTTTTTTAAGCTTTTCACCCCAAGCAAGGTGGGAGTGCCATTAGCACACAAGGGATGACAGAGAGTGAGAGCAAGAGAAAAGGATGAAGAGAAGAACAGGGAATAGATCAAGGCATCTGGAGATGTCGATTGACATTGCATTTGAATAGTTGGAGGTTATAGCTATCAGGGAAGCAAGTAAGAGGAAGGGAGTTCCACAGACAGGAAGTGTGAGACATGAAGCTATTGGAGTAGAAGAGAGGGCTACATTTAATCATTTCAACAGTGAAAGGGTGGAACTGAGATGCCAACCTAGTGGCATGTTTAAATTCATGCAGATTGGGAACTAGCGAAAATAGCTCATTGGAGTAGTTACCGTTAAAATATTTGTAGAAAAGACAGAGGGAGGCAATGGCATATCTGTGAGAGAGTGACTGTAAATAAGATGACAGATCAGGGCCAAAGAAAAGAAAAAAAAAGAAGGCATATTGCAAAAAAAAGTTATGACAGATTAAACATTCTTCATTTCAAGAGTCATTTGAAACTTTTAATATTTTTATTTTTAATCAATTCACAGCAAGCAAGGAAATAATAGCCACTAAGAAGCAAGGGATTACTGAGCATGAGAAAACATGAGAAAAAAAACATTTCTGAGAGAGATCAATAGAAGAACAGGAATTAAGAAGACAGAAGATAATGAGTGACACTGTATTTAAATTTAAAGTTAACTGGAAATCAAGAAGCAAGAAGAGAGTTCCACAAGCAAGAAGTACAATAGAAGAAACTGTTAACATAGAACTCACAGTTACATCTAACCATTTCAACTGTAAAATGACAAAATCTTGCTGCCAATTTAGTACTGCACTTAAATTCATGAAGCCTAGGTACCATAGACATAAGTTCATCAGAACAATTACTATGAGAATATTGATACGCACAGGGAAACTATGTTATGGTAGTAGGAAAGTAAATGAAGCTGAGATCCCAGGTCAGGACCAATAACATTGCTGATTCTTCTTTGTATTTTATCAAGAATCTCTAAATATAGAGCAGGAGCACTGGACCATATGTGGCAGCAATATTCGATGCATGGATGAAAAGTAGACTTATAAATATGTCAGATAGATTCTGACAAGGAAAATTGTCATACATGAACAGAGAGAACCAACTTTCCTATTATAATTATATATAAGATAAAATATTTTTGTGTTACTTAATTTGACATAAGATAATCACAGACATTTCTCCCCAAAATTTGAATTTAAAATACAAAGTTAAGCTAATTTTTACCTAGACACCATAGACTACCAGTACATGTACCTGACCCAATTCAATAATATTGTGATATTAAATTCAACTGATGGGGATGATGTTTCTACCATGAAATACCTTATTTCAATAAAATCATGTCATATCAAAAATTCATTATTATTCTTTAATCTTTCTTGAAGAAGCAGACATGGTTAAGTGTAACTGATCCACCACTAAAAAAATGGAAAAATGGTTGGTTCCCCGATTTGACTCCTCGTGCTATCTTCTACCTTTTACAAGAGCCAGATCAAGCCGAAAATAGAGTACTGCTGCCCAGTTTTCACTTTCCAGTCTCGATAGAGCCTAAAAGTGTCTCTGCTATCCTCTGCCTTTATAAAAGCCAGATCAGGCCGAAAATGGAGTACTGTTGCTATGTATGGATAGGAGCTGCCTGTCTTCACTTCCCAGTCTTGATAGAACCCAAAAGCATCTCTCTATCTTTGTGTGTGAATTATTTTCCACCTTGCCACAGATGAAACATCATAAGCCTGTTCCTGCTCTATTGCTATTTCCTTGGATACTTCCACTAAGACCTGCCATGCCACGTACATTGTAGTGAACCAACCTCATTCCCTTTCTATCCATTAGTGAGATGTATATAATATATATAATAATAATATATAATATTAAATATAAATGGTGGTAGAGGGAACCTTATATACCATCAAAAAGAGGAAGAGGTGGAGGATAATTACCAGTAAGCTGCCACTATGGTTGCTTAACTTGCAAGCTTCAGCAATTCCGTTCTTGTAATTCTCTGTATGAAAATGAAAAAGCAAATGTTAGAATTAATAGCAATTGTGATTAATTATTTCATTTAATTAAAGTAAATTTAACAGAAGAATAATGATTGAAATTATTTTTGGAACAATTCCTGCTATAAAAATGTGTATTATGAAGTAATTTTAATACATTTATCACTTTTCCTTCGAAAATATATATATATATATATATATATTGTTGTAGCATACCTGCGAATGATAATGGGAATGTCCCCATTCACATAAATACAGTAGTAAATACTGTATGTTGGTCTGCAGTTGGAGATTCATCTCTAGCTGTGTGGGTCAAACTCTATGCTTCTAAGCAGAGAGGATCCCCAAATGAGTCTATGTTGAATGGCAGTCTCGTCTCGGGGAAACAACTACTCAACCCTGTTTTATATGGGGTCTACAGGGAATTTTTGGCTGAGCCTATAGTCCCAGATACCCCACGTTAAATTCGGTCTTGTGCCACATCTGACCACATGGGGCAGTTGGTAGATATCCTACAGTTGGAGATTCATTGTGGAATTCACTTGACTCACTTCTAGCAGTTGACTACTACTTCTATGCGCTGCTGGTGAATTTTATATGTGTTGTTTTTGACCTAAGTATTATAATTAATTTCCATCCTTCATGTGATTATTCTATTCAGTAACCTCCCCTATGTTACAACATATATATATATATGTGTGTGTGTGTGTGTATAAAGGTCTCTCCTGTTGATTTTGACACATGAGGATCTGACAATTTCATCCAGTTTTATGTTTCTGTCATTTGTGACACTTCAGTTCCACTAGTTACCTGCATACAAGCCCACATATTGTGCAACTGCATGGATCTCTGGAAAAACTTCTTGATGCTTTTTGCTTTGCCTTTTTTAGCCAGTCAATACAACTGCTTTCAAAGTTTTGGTACCACTCTAGCATAAATATCTCCAGTTATTTCTATCCAGAGCAACTTGCTAGAAATTAGTATGAAGCACATTGATACCTGAGAAGTTACTCTGTATCGTATCTGTATTTGCTGTCAAGCTGGCTATACATGAAGACTTTAACTATTCTGTTGTTACTCACCCTTGCAACAGGACCAGCCCAGCAAAGTTGTGACTGTTAGGAAAGTTTCAGTTCCACCAATGTTACATTTTCTGAGAAGATCAACATTGGATACCCTATCAAAAAGTATAGCCATAGATCGCATGGAGACAACTTTTGTAGAAGACATCCAGCTGATTGATATGGGATATATATATATATATATATATATATATATATATATATATATATATATTGAGTATCCTTTATCTGAAAGTTTTTCAGGTGCTGACATGACTTGCCACAAATGGAAAATTTCAGAAAGCACTTTGAAGGTTCTTATGTGATGTGCAGCTGTTGTAAGTGACATCATCATCCCTGGTTTGGGGTTCCCCAGCCCAGCTATGTAGCCAACATTGGTGCCAAATTTTTGTTAGCTACTATCACAGCAACACCTTCATTCATGGTTTACTACTAGGTGTTTCCTGCTCAGTAAAGATATTCAAAATGTCAAAAAATCCTGCATTTATAGATTTTATGTATTGTTCATGTTTTTTTGTACATATACAGAAAGTACGTAACATTATTTTTATGGGAAATCTTAATTTCACCACTTAAAAATCCGTGTCAGCATTACATGACTAGCATCATTATCTCTATCTACACAAAATTTATTAAATTTTATATAAAACTACATTCAATGTATATGTCATTTATATAAAACTACCTTTCAGGTATACCTATAAGCTGTGTTATGAAATGTAAAGAGATATTGTGTTTATGCTTGGGTTCTATTCCCATGATGCCCCATTTTATAGATGCTATATACAAATTAAATAATCTGTATCCCAAAATGTGAAAAAATCTGAAAACCAAAGCACTTCTGGTCCCAAGAATTTTAGATAAAGGATTCTCAACATATATTGTTAAATATAACCGTCAACGAATGTCTATTATATTTGATCATTACCCATTTTAAGCTTTCTATAGTGGCTTTAATTTTGGAAGAAAATAAAGACAAAAACTGTCTAACATTTGGATTTTTGATATTTTTTTTATTATGCTGTTCCTCAATCTAAGCTTTTGGTTCACATGAGCCATCTAAACATATGGTTCTGTTGTTAACATTTTGTTCTCTCGTGGTACGATGTCATAGAACCACATCATGAATTTATAACCTGCGTCTGCTATTCCCTGATGGTTAGCATCATATAGCAAACTTCTATGTCAATATTACAGAATATCATCTTTCATGGTGAATATCTTTGTTGAAATGTCCATACAATCATTCTGAAGATGGCTCATGTGAGCTGAAACCTTAAATCAAGGAACAGCATAATAAAAAAATATCCTAATGTTGGACAGTTTTTTTCTTCATTTTCTCCCAAAATTAAAGCAATTATACAAAGCTTAGAATGGCTCATGATCAAATATAATAGACATTCTTTGTCTGTTATGTTTAACAATATATATTTGAATAATGATCTGCTGCCCCACTAAAATATACATGAAGAAATATAGTTTTAAGATGTGCTATATTTATGGGATAAAGTGCTCAATATCAGAGATAGAGAGTATGTAAATATAAATATAAAAGTGAACATTGAAGTCAACACTCAGAGGTGACTGGCTGTTTCATGCTAGATGCAATCGTCAGGCAACAATGGTCTATCATGACATGAAAAAATAACTCACCCAATTCGCACAACCCCCCAAGCATATATTTTTTAATTAGTGTAGAGCTGGCATTTAATTGGTTAATCAAGACATACACACAAGTCTAATTTTAATTTTGACCTTATGTTTTCCCCACCTTTAACTTTCGGAAAAGAGGTAACAATTTGTTTTTAAATTTACTTAAAAATCATTTAACCACCAGTTACTTACTATTGCCTGAAGAAGTACAATCAAAGTATTGAAACATGAAAACTTTCATGTAGTGATTTAAAAATGTTTTTATTATAATTTCTTATAATAAAAATATAATACTATATTGCTTTACTTTGTATTGAGCACTTCTTTTTAAAAGTAAATGCTATGAACTGTGGATTTTTATTCCATTTGTTCTTTCTCTCATTTATATATATATATATATATATATATATATATATATATAATGGACTCTCCTGTCGTTTTCAATGTATGAGTGTCTTCCATTTCAATTTCTTTATGTTTATGTTTCATATGAGACAACAATTTTGAAGTGCAGAACTGAAGTGCAGACAACCCACACAGAAGATTTGTTTAGAGTGGTGAAGGCTCATGTAGAACTAGCCACACTTTTATGAAGAGCCAAATACAGAGACCTGGTGCACTGTGTGCCACAAGATCCCCAAATAACCCCCTGCAGGTTTTGAATTCAGAGTTGTCCTTCTCCTAGATTAGTTGCCATCCAAGGCTATAGAATCCAGTCTGTCTTGCTATTTACCCATAACTGGGGGTAGAAGAAGAGGATTCATACCTTTCCCATGGGTATTAGCATGTAAGTGAATGTAATAGATTCAACTGGAATTTGAACTTGGCTCTCCGATTCCTCAATCTGAGCCACTATCCATTACTCCATTTATATATATATATATATATATATATATAATATGTGTGTGTGTGTATGTATATGTGTGTCTATATATATATATATAAAGAAAGAACAGTAAGATATATAATCCGGTGTTCTTATAGATATTTTTATTTTTACAAAATAGTGCTCAATGTAAATTTACAGAGCATTAATATTATAAATTAATTGATTTAAAATATGTTTTTCCGCTACACAGTTCTAACCATGTTTCAAAAATGGAAGCTAAAAGCCCCGAATTTAATTTTGTAATTAAATTAAAGACATTAGTTCCATTTCATCCTCAAGCGAATTTTGGAGTAACTTTTAAAATTACTGGGTTTTAATGACACAGCTAAAATCATAATTCATGTTTCCAAGGTTACAGATGAATCCATTTTACTAGACGAGGGGTGTCTGGGTGTTCATTATGTCTATATTTTAATGTATCAGTTATTGCTATGTTTTGGTAGGGGGTAGGGATGTATTTTTCAATGAAATCTAACATCCGTTAAAAGCGTGTTGTCTGGACTTTTTAAAATTTTATTGTTAACGGCAAAAATTCTTACGGCATTTTTTTCCTTCGTATATTTAAAATTTTTTAGCGGGTGTTTAGGTTAGAATACTTTTTATTTAACTACAATTTGAAATATTTTTACTTTTTAATATACTATATTTCTTTTAAGAACAATTAAATGTAATGAGAATCCCTTACAGTTTGTAGAATTATTATTACGTCAAGAATATTTTACGATTTTAAAATTTTTTTATATTTAAATATTATTTAAGTAAAATTTTTTTTGCACTTATGGCAAAAAAAGCTAATTCATTTCTCTGTTTTAGTAAACTTTATTTATTTATTTAATTACAATTTTAAAAAAAGTTTAGGTTAGAATTCATTTTAATTAACTACAATTTTAATTACAACTTTAAAATATTTTCATTTTTTTTTTTTTTTTTTTTTTTTCAAATCAAAGAAAAACATACCTTTAATTGATGCACTACAATTAGGTTGTCCTTTCGACATTGTTGGGTGTTCTCGAGCATAGATGCTGATGAGATGTTTCACAGAAATTTTGTCTGGACCTCCCAAATCTGAATTAAAAATGTTTAAATTAACATGTTGACCAACAGAAGATAAGTGTAAATGAAAAGCGAACTGATTTTAACTCTTTCACTACTGCATTGTTATAACACTGTTGCCTAGCTGTACTGGCCTATTTTTTAGTAAAATAGTAAATTGACATTTACAGAAAAATAAATGACTATAAATACACTAACAGCGATTTCTCATGGATAATTTTTATTTTGGTTTTGATCCGATACTCTGCAGTCAAACCCCCAATATAATAAAATAACATTCTATTAAAAGTTATATTGTGCATCACGAACCAAAAGTTTGGGGCTACCCCTGGATTTTGAGGAATTGCCTAAAAATTGAAGGTTGTATGCTTTTTGTTCAAAACTTATTTACAAGCTCACTTTGAGTCCGAGGGACTTTCTCTTCCTAGAAAGGTTTTATCATATATTCAATAACAAAATGAATCCCTTACTGCATAACTACTTTTTTCATGTGTCTTCAGGAAGTTGGCAATCAGGGCTCCTACAATTTCCTGTCCTTTGTAGCTCTTAATTTTTTTTTTTTTGTTATCTCTCTCAAACTCTGCCTCACTATTCACTGACTCAAGCTTTCCAGGTGTGTTATGTGTTGTTTTCTTCTGTCCTGTTTGCCTTCAATAAGTCCTGTGAGTATCAAATTTTCCGAGCCATCTTTCCTCATTATGTGACCTAGAAATTTCAACTATGTCTTTCTGATGTAAAGTATAAGTGTCCTTTTGTTTCTATTTTCTCTAGAAATTTGCTATTGCTCACATAGTATTACCAGCATCCTTCTGTAGAACCCTAAAACTTAGGTTTTAATACTTTCTCATAAGATTGTCATATATTTGGATTGCTGTATTTTATATATATATATATATATATATATATATATATATATATATAAAAAATATGGAGCACTTATCTCTTCATACCATTATATTTTAGTGCCAACTGACTCTTAATACAAGAATTGCTGAGAATCGCTTTTTTTTACCAATCAACATATGAACCTTACAATGGGCATTAAAATGTGATCTACAAATTGGAAATGTCAAAATCAAGAGGTGCAAAAATTTAACAATCTAATGTATTAAGAAACAGGAAAATTTTGTTTGAAATTGGAGACGTCAAAATCAAGAAGCACTGAAATTTATGTGCCTGGGAAGTGTTACAACAGGAAAATTTTGTTCGAAATTGGAGACGTCAAAATCAAGAAGCACTGAAATTTATGTGCCTGGGAAGTGTTACAACAGGAAAATTTTGTTCGAAATTGGAGACGTCAAAATCAAGAAGCACTGAAATTTATGTGCCTGGGAAGTTTTATAACAGACAATGGAAAATGTGACAGAAATCCAAAGGTGCATTGGAATAGCAAAAGATGCCTTCCAAAAGCTAAACAATGTATTAAGGAAGAGGAAAATTTTGTTAGAAACAAAGATAAGTGTGCTGAATTGCTATGTAGTAATAATCTTTCTATATGGCAGTAAATATGGAACAATTTCACCATAAATGTTGTTCTACAGAAGGCTGCTGAGAATAACACACTGATAATACTAGCAACAAGGAAGTTTTAAGGAAAATAGAAGAAAAAAGAAAACTTGCACTAAGAATCAGAAAAAGACAACTGAAATGTCTGGAGCAATGAAGAAAGAGAGCTTGGAGATTTTGACACTCACAGGACATATTGTAGGCAAGTGGAGCAGTGGGAAATAGCAAGTAACCTAACTAATGTCCTTGTGTAAATGGATGGGTGAATAGACCCAGGTGAGAGTTACGAATTGGAGATGACAAAATCAAACAACTACAGAAATTTGATTTTTTTTTTTTTTTTTTTTTTTTTTACACATAAAGGAAAATGTGACAATAATATTGTAATAACAAAAGATGCTTTCCAAAATCTAAACTAAATATTAAGAAACAGAAAAAAATTCTTTAGAAACAAACAGGGTTCAGCTGCTATGTAATGTCAGTTTTCCTAAATGGTTGGACAATTTTCTCAGAGCTGAAGAGATTTGAGACCACAGAAATGTGGATCTACAGAAGGATGCTGAGAATACTATGGATGGATATGTGAGCAACAAGAGTTTTAAGGAAAACAAAAGGACACATATAGAATCAGAAAGTGATAGTTGAATACCATAGAGGATCTAAGGGAAAATAAAGGCTTTATATTGACTATTGTTAAAATGTCATATTTTAGCCTCATGTGCCACTAAGGAGACCCAGGCTATGATCAATGATGGAATGAAAGGGGTAAAAGAAAGTAGCAATATTAAAGGAATTGCAAGGCTACAGATGTTGACGAGTCGAGTGGTTGTGCTTTGTGTGTAGAGTTTTGCATTAGTCTAACCAATTGTGACCAAAAAGACAGTGCAACTGATACACGAAACAGCTGTATTTTTCTTTCTATAAGAGTATTAGCTCTAAAGTCATCAAATAAATGTTTGGTTTTTGTATAAATTATTGATTCATTTATACTCTCATCGACAATTTTTTTTTTCTTTAATCCATGTCAAAAGTAAATTTTCTATCTCTTCAAATGGAGTGCTACGTGATTTACTATGTTTGGTTCTTCTCTTGGCCACATAGACACTTTCATTCATTTTCACCTTGAATATGGTGAAAATTGTTGATTTCACCATTCCATAATTCCATAATCTGGACTAAATTTGCTAACCCTTGTTAGACATTATTTCCTTTTTAATTTCTCAATTGACCCCATGGCTATGTTTTTGTTAAAAAAATACAACAAAAAATATTGATATCTGTCTATATCTCTGAGATGAGGTATTCTGATTACTTGCATTATTTATATTATTTGAACTGTTATCCTCATCTTCAATGCCATATTCATAATGTTTCAGTCATCGTATGCTCCGGCCTTCTTTAGGTGATTGGCCCAGTGGATAAACTAGACCCAAAGAGTTGTGAGTTCAATACCAGGCCACAGCAGTGGTGAATCAAAACTTGGAGAGTTGAGTTAAAGGGAAATAACTGAGACATTCGGAAGAGGCATGACATGTGGAACTAGAACAATCTACCCTGGTGGACGAAATAAAGGGTCCAGTTTGAAAAATTCCAATCAACTGAAGAAGGCCAGAGCGTACAACAGCTGAAACCTTTTTGTGAATATGGCAATGAAGATGAGGATAACAGCCCAAATAATGTAAATAATACAAGTAAAAAAATATTAATTTCATTATAAAATTAAAAAAAATTGCAATCTAAGTTAACAGTTTATGACACAAAACTAATCCAATATGGAGCTGGAGCCTGAGCCAGTGTTGAGTATGTTCCCAGACATGTCTATGTTTACATAGTCTATTCACAGTATATTATTTAAATTTCAGCTCATTAGGCAAATTTAATTTTCTTTTTTAGAAAATGCAAGGAGGTATTGAGCATTAAGAAAAGTCACAGCATAGGTGGTCAAGTTTATCTCATCATTTACTTAAAAGAACACAAATAAAAAGGATTTTCTTGAAACTTTAGTGACTGCAACTAAAAGAGATTAAGCATTTTGGAGAGATAATTAAAAAAAAAAATTAACAATAACATTTGTTTAAACTTAATTTTCCAACCCAAGCAAAGACTTTAGGCAACACAAGAGAAATTACATATAAAGCACTTAGCAAAATTCCTTTTTACAGAAATCCACGGATTACTTATTTTAACATATTTCAAGAAATTTCTTTAGATAAAAAGATAATTCAAGGGTTACTCAAAGCAGTCAAATCATAACAAAATTCAAAATTATCATCAACAATGCACATGATTAAGATAAAAAGAAAATTGTTGTTCATTGCTAGTTATACATATTGTTAAACAAATTTAAGGTGTGCGCACACAGTGAATATAAAAACAAAATCAAGTCTTTAAATATAGTACTATATATTTAGAGAAATAGGGTTTCTCAGAAGTGTCACAAAGTATGATTTATCTCCTTGAAAAGAAGTGAAAATGTAATGTGGTTCGGTTATTCTAGTCTATTTCTTGATATTTCTATATAACAAGTAAATCCATAATTTTCTTTGGATTTAGTAATAAACTAATATTTCATTCTTTGGTCAGATTTTACATAATCATGGAAGTAACTCAAAACATTCTTATAGATAACTAGCAGTAGAGCCCGGCATTGCCCGGGGATGTAACAGTAAGAGATAGATCAAGTATCGATCATCATAAAGACTGAAAAAATAAAATTGACAAAGATTATTGTTTAAGGTTGACGGACACGCATGTCTTAATTAGTTTTTTTTTTTTTACGAATTGGTCAAACCCAAACTCAAACAAAAACATTGTTTTCAATCATTATGAGTCTACCGATTGAATAGAATTTTATTATAAACAATTATCTTGTAAAAGGAATTTTTAAAGCATTCTGAATGTAAAAATAAAGAAAAAAGTGTGTAAGACAATAAGAAACACTACCTGCCAAAAAAAAAGTGAAGTTTTGTTGAAATTGGTTGAAAAAATGTAGGAAATCCGATCCCATATATAAACAAACACAAACAACCTGGGTTTTATAATAACTCGATATGAGTAGTCCCCCTTTCATTCTGTGAAAGCGATGCCTTTTAATCGTGTTTTCAAATTGATTTCATGCAAAAAAATGTTTTTCCAATTTTTGGCGCTGTCAGAACCACCGCAAGTTTTGTTGAAAAATGTAGGAATATACAAACAAACAAACAGACACACACACACAACCTGGGTTTTATAATAAGTATGATTATCTTTGATAACAGCTAAGATCAAGAAAGGATCAAAAGAAGAAATTCACAATACTTACAGCCTGATGCACTGTTATGGTAAGGATACACGCCAACAAGGGAGCCACCCCTCATAATTATTGTAACTGTTGGTTTTTTTTCTTTCAGCCATTTCATAATGGCTGCAGATTCTGGTTGGATTTGTTTGGATTTATTTGCACCATCGACTGAAAAAGATCAACAAATTTAAATTTATCTAAATGGGAAAAGGAAGATTATCATATTTCCAGATGTCAGGATTGCTCCAACCTTAACTAAAAATTTCAATCTTAACTTGCAAATTTAAAAAATAAAAATATAAAAAAAAAAAAGTACAAAATCGTTTTAGGTCTTATCAGTAAAAGTCTGAACTGGTGGAATTTGGGAATATGATGCTGCAATGATGAGATCCAAAGACGTATTGTGATGGGCAAAGACACATTCAAAAGTTAGGCAGAGTATTACGAGACAGGAGGATTTCATTGGTAACAAAGAAAAGAGTATGTGATATCTGTCTTCCTTTACAGCAGTGAATGTTGGACAGCCTCATCAAAGACGAAGAAGAGACTCAAGGCAATAGAGGTATGGTTCTACAGAAGGATGCTAAGGATACCATAGACTGAACATGTGAGCAATGATGAGTTTTTGGAGAGGATGCGAACTTATAATTAACATTAGGGAGAGGCAGATGAAATTTCTGGGACACAATGAGAAAGGAGGGCTTCAAGACATCTGGACTGGAACTGCCTAATTCTCTCTCCAGCCTTGATAGAGTTCAAAAGCATTTATGCAGCCTTGTAGGTGATGAATTATTCCCCCCCACTACAACCCCTTCTCCACAGATGCAACACTGCAAGCATGTTACTAATCTATCATTATTTCCATAACTCATTGGGTGGAAAGAGGGACAAGGGAAAGCAACACATGACATATTTAGTAGGCTTAAAGCAAGTGGATGGCAGAACAGAGCCTGGGAGAAGTAGTAAAAAGACAAAATTTATTGAGAACAACAAGGGATAGGAAGAAGTGGAGAGCCATGATCGCCTATGTCCTGAAGGGACACGGCACATAAAAGATGAAAGAAGTATTACATCAGAATATTTTCCATGGAAATAGTGATAGAGTAGTAAGAAGTGAGCAATATTTCACCTGTGAAAAAGGGGGGGTACAAAATAAAATTTTTCACCTGTGAAAAGGGGGGGGTGCAAAATAAAATTTTTCACCTGTGAAAGGGGGGGGGGTGCAAAATAAAAATTTTCACCTGTGAAAAAAAGGGGGGGTGCAACAATAAAATTTTTCACCTGTGAAAAAGGGGGGTGCAACAATAAAATTATATTTTGGGCAATAGAATGGAAGCACTTCAGCCATTTGTTTCTAGCTGGATGCATTTCTCTGATTTAATCAATGTCCCCATCAGTGTTTTTTTTTCTTCATAGATATGTTATATTTGGGCATTTATTTCAAAGACCCTATGTTTATTCATCACATTGTTGCTGTCATTACTTCAGTAGCATGCAGAGGGTGCAAGAGCGCATCCAATCAAAGAGGGAAAAAAATTAAGTTTTTAAAGTTAAAATTGTCTCTATTAACTTTATTGTACAAGTGCTCTACAATCCCACAAGCTATTGTGAATGTGGATCTATGTTTTGATAAACAAGACCTAAGTAGGACCCTTACTTGAATCTTAGGGGCATTCAACCAAGGATTTTGCCCCTGGACACCACCAAACCTCTGCATGTTACTGCATTACTTTTCTTTTTTTTCATTTTTTTGTTAAGCATTTCACCCCAAGTAAAGTGGAAGTGCCACTACTATGCAAGGGAAAAGACTGTGTATAGAGGGGGTTGAGAAAAGGATAAAAAGAGAAATGAGGAACAAGGAAACAGAAGATGTTGATTGACATTAAATTCTTGAAGATTATAGTTATCAAGGAAGCAAGTAAGAGGAAGGGAGTTCCACTGTCAGGAAGTGTGAGAGAATAAGCTGTTGGAGTAGAAGAGGCAGTTACATTTAACCGTTTTGACTGTAAAAGGGTGGGACTGAGATGCCAACCTAGTAGCATGCTTAAATTCATGCAGTTGTGGCACTGGTGTAAATAGCTCAGCAGAGCAACTGCTATGAAAATATTTATAGAAAAGACAGAGGGAAGTTACATTATGTCGGTGAGAAAGTGACTAGAGTTGAGACCCCATGTCATGATTGATCACATTGTATATCCACCTTTGGATTTTGTTGAGAACCTTGAGATGAACAGTGGAGCACCAGATCATATATGGCAACAGTATTCTATACATGGATGAATAGATTTGTAGATGTGAAGGAATGGATTCAGAAAAGAAGAACCTTCTGGTTTGACACAGAGAATCAACTGGATTCTTACTTGACCACTACAATCTTAACCAATTCAAGTTCAAAGTCAACTGCTATCTTATATATCCTCATAATCTATAATTTTTACAGTCATAAAACAACCTTAGTCAGTAAAACTCTACCTTGAGGGGCTCTTGGGGGCCTTGTATCAAGTGAACAATAACATTGTCTGGATGGTGCAAGCCTAAGGACATTATGACACATTCTTTGTTCCATGGCAGGTATGAATAAGTCTCTCTAAGAAGCAATTATCAACTTACTTAAGAAATCTGTATCCAGATCAACACCATTTGCATTCTCAGCTCCAGGAGAATTAGTACATTTTGGCTGTAATTGGCGCCGCCTTTTGTGTCGTTTCTGGAAAGCTTTTTCTGCTCCATCAGGGTTCAGCGAAGGTACCAAGTGCAGCCAACTGTTGTCCAACATCTAAAGCAATAAAATAAAAATAAGATTAGTGGATGGGATCAACACCTAAAGAAAGGGAGACAATATATGAGACAAAAGTTAATAACAACAAAGAAGCCATTGTATGTTAATCCTGTAGAGTCATCTGTTGAATGTAGAGACACAGCCTCACCATGATAGGCGCTGCTATATGGTTCCCATATAAAAGGTTTTCACAGGGTGGAGTTAACCATTTGGTTCCCATATAAAAGGTTTTCACAGGGTGGAGTTAACCATTTGGTTCCCATATAAAAGGTTTTCACAGGGTGGAGTTAACCATTTGGTTCACATATAAAAGGTTTTCACAGGGTGGAGTTAACCATTTGGTTCACATATAAAAGGTTTTCACAGGGTGGAGTTAACCATTTGGTAACCGTATAAAAGGTTTTCACAGGGTGGCGTTTTGAATTCAGATTTGTCCTATTGATTTGTTACCAACTAAAGTCAGAGAAACCAATCTACCTTGTTATTTAACCCATAGCTGGTGGGGAAAAGCAAGGAATTCTATCTTTACTAGGGGAATTTGTAATGAAAGCAATCATAACTACCTCAGCTGAAATTTGAACCCGGCCAACAAATCCCACTTTTTTAATAATTATTTTCTGTTTTTCTTGGTTGAACACGTGTCCAATTTTTCAGAAAAAAAAAGAAAGCGTTTTTCTATAAAGCATCTTTGCTGTTCTCCATATAACTTTTCCTTGGTTACCTGGTGTATCCTCTGTTGGATATAATGTATTTTCATGAATTACATCTGTTTGATGCTTTGGCACACACCATCAGTGATGTTTTAAGCCAAATTTCATTAGGAGGTTTCAGATTTTTCGTCTTCATACCCCTTCTCCATAGTGATCCATCCCATACTGATCAGGTATCAACTTGTGTGCCACCCATCAGCTACAACTTTACTCACTTTTAATCATACACTGCAACTCTTAGAAATTTATAGTCCAATTACGGTTAACATCCAGTTCACTAGCATTACCCTAATTCTGTCTCCGAGTACAGACTCCATTGTCAAGTATAGTTTTAGGTCATACCCAAGATCCACTTTCACGTCCCCACCTCCAAAAACATTATCAACTGCAACTTATATATATTGTGTATCAAAAATACTTTTACAAACTTTAGGGGTGGGTTCCTCACAGCAAAATAAGCACAAAAGTCCATATAAACATGGTTGCAAATCCTTCCTTTTTCAGTTATTAAGTTTAAAGAAAGTTTACAGTAGATGGTGCTGTATTGCTATGTAGACTAAGTTACATTTGTCACTTGTGTATATTTGTGGCTAGTCTATCTTCAACGTTTAATGTGTGTAGTAGTGAGTTAACTGAGAAGTATCTTGTTTAACAATGGCAGGATATTCATATTGTGAGCAGGCAGATATGATTTTTACATATGGCTGTGCAAATAGTAATGGAGACTAGGCCGCAGGGCTGTATCAGATTGTTTCCAGACCAAAGGCAGGTGAGTCATCCAACCTTTGCTACTGTTTATCATCGCATTGCCAAGACAGGACTCATAGCATCACAAACTATGGATTGAGAAAGACAGAGATCTGCTTGTATGCCTGACCACAAAGAACACATTCTACAGACTTTTGAAGACAATCAAGGTATCAGCACACATCAAGTGGCCGTAGCATGTTGTACATCTCATAGTTATGCATAGAAGGTACTTGAAGAGAAGTTCCTGTATCCATATCATTTGCAATGTGTGCAGGATTTTTTGCCCTCTTATTCACCACAGGAGAACTTTTGCCAATGGTTTATTGCACAAACTGCCTATTTGTTGTTTGTTTCATCAGGCTTGTTTATGTATGAGGCAACATTCGGAAGAGATGGAATAACAAATTTACACAGTCAACATTTGTGGGCAGATTGGAATCCCCATGAAAGAATACAGGCTAGACATCAGCATCAGTTTATGATTAATGTGTGGGCTGGAATTATAGGTGACTGTCTGGTAGGTCCATATGTTCTCCCAGCATGTCTTACAGCAGAAATTTACAGGGACTTTATTTTGAACACACTTCCAGACCTGCTAGAGGATGTACCCCTGCTAATACAAAGATGCATGTGGTACTTGTATGATGGGGCTCCAGCGCATTTTAGTTCACAATTCACTGGATGACGTCTAACATGAAAAATGGAAAGGTAGGTGAGGACTTGTTTCATAGTCTGCACACTCATCCTACCTCAATCCTTTGGATTTTTATCTGTGGGGCCACCTAAAACAATTGGTTTATGGAACAGACATTAATAAGGCAGAGACACTTCATCATATCAGGGGTGTCTGCAAAACCATTTGACATTGTGGAGGTGTATTTGAAAGGGTCTGCCAGTCAATAATTTGAGGAGTGCATGAGTGTGTAGAAGCAAGCAGAAGACATTTGTTATGAGTTACTTTGTTAAGGTACAACAATGGCCTTTTGGGCATATGTTTATATGGACATTTTACCTTGTTTTGGTATCTGGAACCTGTCCCCAAAGTTTGTAAAAGTATTTTTGATACACCCTGTGTGTATATATATATATATATATATATATATATATATATATATATATATATATATATATATAGGCAGTATATCTTCATTCAAGCAGGTTTAGTTGAATAATCTGGACATATTATGTCTATCTATTTTATTGTAATCCTCTCAAATTCTCTAATCAACTTAAATTCATTAACGATGGCACCAGAGTTTTTTTTCTTTTCTTTTTATTTTTCCAAGTACTTTCAATCTTATCTATGATCATCTTCAGGGGTGAATTGCTAAGTCAACAAATTAATGTAACTGATAGTTGTGATTTTTTTGTAAATGCACATGGATATGATCTGTTATAATTATTTTAAAATTAACTGTTGAAGCCATAATGTTTTTACATATTTTTGATCTACGGGAGGTAACTTTAATTTCTATAATTATATCTGTTCGATTTTGTTTACAAATATTGCTATTATAAACATTTTAAAACAGTTTTGCTATACTCATAACTAACCTTATTTAATGTTGGTTGTCTGCTCCTTATATAGAGGGCCTTGAGAATTTTAAGTTTTGTTTTTTTATTTTCATGATGTAGCATACAAGTATTATCAACAAGTACATTTCTGTATTGTGAAGGTGGACAGGAATGTGTTTTAAATGTTGTGTGATAGTGTGTATCTGATATAGGGAGTGTGTAAGCTGTCTTGATAATGTTGTTGTCATGAAGCATATGTATTTACTTTTTTGTCAGAGATACAATCTCCCAAAGGACATTTAAATTGATATACAATGTTGGTCTTTTGCAAAACACTAGTTGACGGAGAAGAGTTATTGTGGATGATCAAATTGGTTGTATTAAATTTAGTATAGCATAAAGTTAGTTTTATTTTTTTTTACAGGGTTAATTGGAGGAATATTAGTGCTTATGAGTTTTTTTTTTATCTTGCTTGTAGTTATAATGCATTTGATTATGGTATAGTAGGTTGATATGTTTAGGGTTATTTGAGAAAGTATCATGTTTTTTGATTTATGTTAATATTTCTAATAGCTCTTTTAATTTGTTTATCAACAACGTCATTAGGAAAGTCATTATTAATGAGAATTTGTTTAATGTTTTGTAAAAGCATGAATCCATGTATCTTCTCCCCATCTTGTCTGCCAGAATGTCCGCTATGTATCATCATATTCAGGACTATAAAATGAAGAGACATTATCCCATCTCCTACATTTCATTCTGAGATGTAGCAGTGTTGGAATTAACTCCTACTCAATTTCCTAATTTTTGAAACCACTACTTGGGGACACTCTCCTTTTCTAGAAAATACTTGGCGATATCTTTTTCTCACTCTCTTTCTCCTTACTTTTTAGCTGAGACTACAACAATGTAAATCTCTTTTGGAGATTTGCGTTTTCCCCTAGAACACTACACACACGCACACTCACTCACAAAAACTTCGAACACAAATTCCACATTAATTTATAGACACACATTGTCATTTTGTAAACCATTTGTTGTTTAATACATTTATATATATATATATATATATATATATATATATATATATATGGTTCTTGTTGTTTCTTTCACATTTCTTTTGGTGGACTCATTCCAAATCCGCCATGTTTGTTGTGGGCCATTTCAGGAGACACACGTGTTTATCTCACAACATGTATACACTCGGCCTGCAACTGTTAAAACAGGATCTTGTTCAATCAATAGCATGATAGCACTTCACCAAACAGTAAGATGAGAAATTTCAAAAAACTTAAATCCTGCCTAAAGGCTAAATCCACTTTGGCAGGAAGGGAAATAAGCTACTGCCACTTCTTAGAACACATCCATTAAGCTGCAGAGTAGGTGTCTAATTTATTAGCCAAAGGTGGTGAGTTCAATCCTAGGTAGGACCACAAGAGTCAGCAAAGTTAACAGCAATAATATTGTGACTCTTCTCCTCTGAGGAGACAATCTCTGTGCATGCAAATGCATGGAAGACCAGAGAACACATCGACTTAAACATTGATAGAACACTATTTCTCTGTTAAAACTATAAATGTTATTTTCAATCGTTTGAATTTTTTATTTTTTTATTTTTTACAGCTATCACCCCTTTTGTGGGTTATTTAAAGCCAAAACATATTTTTTGAATTGTAAGAATAATTCTATTTTGTATGAGTGAATATTGAATTCAATATTTTTGGGAGATAATGTTTTTTCCAGATACAAGTCATACTGTTTAACGCCCATATTTGGTGGAAAAGAGGTAGATTCATACCTTTCCTAATAATATTTGCTTGTAAGGGAATGTAACAAACTTGATTGGAATTCAAACTTGGCTCACCTATTTTTCCTTCTAAATTGCTATCCATTGTACCATCTGCACATCCTATTTTTAGTGGGTATGTGGTGTGATTAGGATGACATCTCTGGTGTTTTTTTCCCCCTTAAACAGTGTGTTGTAGAGTTATTTTGCAGTGGAGGCTTGTATTTGTACTAAATCAGTCCTAAATAGTTCAACATACAAAACGTTAGGAACTTGATATACAGTGTAACCCGGATATAAGAGAAACCCGGATATAAGTGAGATTTTCTCTGGTCCCAAATTAGAGCCTGCGTTAATGTATATAAAATAGACCAAACCCGGATATAAGAGACTTCTTCTCCGGTCCCGACAACTCTCTTATATCCGGGTTACACTGTAATAGGTATTACGCAGAGTAATCTTGTTGTGGTCGCTGATACTTTCGTATTCGACTAATTGTCAACTACTGTCATTCGACATCGACTGACCCTCGTTTCTCTTACTACTCCTACTTATATTAGGTGGGAGAGTCTATTAACTATAGAATAGGGGTGTTTCACCATAACACAGTGAAAATGAGAAGTTCTATTAAAGGAAAATGTGCCTCCCAACAGGAATTGAACCTGTATTCCCTTTTAACATTAGTGACACCACTTTTATGGCTGAAGTGCATGGTTACCAATTTGGCTACAGGAAACCATCAGGATAAAGCAAAGCATGTCTTTTGTTGGGACATCTTCGTGTCTATGTCTGCTAGCTTTATTTATTACTCATAATCTAAACACAATAATTTTTAAATAGATTTTTTTTTTAATCTAACATTATTTCTTATTACTATAAACATATTTTAACATTTTTTTTTATAATATATATTCAAAAAATATAACATAAGCATGTTATAATATCACTACATAAGGATTTATTTTTTAAATGGATTTATTGCTAAAAAAATAATACTCTAAATATTTAGAGTATTTTTTAGCAATAAATCCATTTAAAAAATAAATCCTTATCTTATTCTCATAATCTTCACTTCCTACCCCTTCCTCTTTCATTCATATCACACACACACACATCATTTATCATAACCATTTTAACAGTAAACCTCTACCCTACATGCTTAACCTCTTCAATTCAAGGGTCAATCATTATCTATCCTCCTTATCCTCTTAATCTTCACTTACTACCATCTCTTTCATTCATACCTCACACCTTATTTAGTAAACCTCTACTTTAAGTGGCTCTTGAGCCTAATATTGGATAAACCTTTAGCATAAAAAAAAGAACACAGATCAAGATGAGATTCTCAGTAATATCTGGAATAATGGTAACACTGTATCTCATATTTTCAGACAACTAAATAATAGAAAATAATAAAGATGAAGAAAATTCCTGGAATAATGGTAATAGTTTATCACCAACCTTCAGACAATACTTATGTTGACTTAACTCTCCTTTCTCCTCCCCAGTCAGTATGCACTATGCTTGGCTAATCATGTGACCCTTAATGAACAAGACTGTTTTAGGGTTAACTTTTATCTATCCTACATATCCTTATCATCTGCACTTATTTCCTCCTCTTATGTTCATGCAACAACTTCATTCTGCAATCCTCTACCTTGAATGAAATCTGCACCTTGGGTTGGGTGACCCTTTAGTAAAAAAAAAAAAAAATTAAGATACTGAAAACATCAATAAGTTATGGAATAATGATTGTTTTGTTCGTTTAATGGCATCTCATCATCTTATGGCTCATTTAATGCCAAAATGTAATTTTCTTTAGAGCTTTGAATTAAGAAAAATATATGTCATTTTGCTTTCACAATTGAATACATGGTAGATGATACTCAGCTTTTGTGCATATACATGTTTGTGTGGACATAATTACTAGAGGTGGTGATATGTGTGTTTTATGTTGTAGTTTTTCTAAAGTTATATTTTGGAATACAGTTTAATTTCTTTAAGAAATTGTAGGATATTATATGGACTAATGTCATGAAATAGCTCTATCACGTTAGTAGTTTGATTTTGTTCAGTGGCATATCAACACCTCTGTGGGTTATTTAATGCTGAAATCTAAATATTTTCTACATAATTTTTTACTATCAGAGTAAAGGTATATTTTTTAGATATATATTTTGTAGATCATAAAATTTATTGTTGATAATTTTACTATAAAAATGTACTGTTGATTGTTGCTTGGATGTTCACTATTTGCCCATAGCTGTAACCCTGACAGGTGCTACCACCCCAAGTCAGGGTGGACCTGGAAACAAAAGCAATTAAGAGGTGGTTACACACTCCTCAAAACTTTCAATATCCCAATTAGAGGCCTTGCTGCTGGATGTAGTTTATCATTATACCCAGGACGAAGTTATGGAATAAAGGCTGGTATCTAGTCTTATTATCAAAAGGTGCCTATGACTTACTGAAGTGATTATATAGTCCTTTTTGTAGTTTTCACAAAGATGATAGACAAGTTCCAAGAGAAGTTCCCTTCCAACCATTTCATCCCCATGTAAGTTGCCAGCCAAGAAGACATGAGGTTTGGGTTGAGGTGATTGCTTTCCAAATGAAAACATCCAAAGATCCCTCTTCTCAGAGCTCTTCCCAAGACTAGAGAAATAAAAAATAAAAATGGTTAAAAAAAGAAGCATCGAGTCAAAACAATCAATTCTTTGCTTACTGAGAATTCAAAACAAAAACTTAATGAATGCACAGAGAAACAAGATAAATTATACAGTTCCTTCAGTTTGGTTTGTTTTATGGTATATCAACCTCAATGGTTTATTTAATACTGACAAGATTTTTATTGCTGGTAATAAATTTTTCTTCAAAAATTCATTGCTGGTAATATTTTTACAAAAATGTATTGCTGGTATTAAAACCTATTTTTACACTTTCATAGTGTTTTGACCACAGGTTGAGGGTTAGCTATTTGCCCATAGCTTGGACCCTAACAGGTGCTACCACTCTGGCTCAGGGTGGCCCTGGAAACACCAGCAATTAAGAGGTGGTTCCATGCTCCTCAAAACCGCCTGATCAGAGACTTTGCTGATGGATGTAGTTTATCGTCATACCCTTCAGTCAGTAAGAGACAATTTTAAAATCTATTGTATCAACATGATATTTAAATTTAATTTTTAATTTTTTTTTCATTAGAAACTACCAAAATATTTGCATACAAAAAACAAAAAAAAAATTAAGAAGAAACATTTCAATACCAAAATTCACTCTCTTCAGAATCATATCAGTGGTGGGGTGATGAACCGCTAACCTTAGTATTGTGTCTGTTCCCTCCATCTTGGCATCATCTCTGTGGAAGGAGGACAAAAATCTGCATGTCCCAGCATCGTGTCTGTGGAGAGGAGAAAGAGATCCTCTTGCCCCAGTATCATGTCTGAAGGGAGGGAAAAACAATCTGCTCACTTCAACATTGTGGGTGGCAGAAAGATTCACTTGCCTTATCTGTTGAGGTCTCCATTCTGCTCAGTATCACACTTGTGGGGAAAAAATCTATTTGCCCAGGCACTTTATCTATGGTATATTTTCTCTTGCCTGTCCCACACACACTGCCTCTTTTTATCTCACCTTTATGTCTTCTTTTCTATCCTCCTTTTTATTTCCTCTTTCTTTGCTGCTCCTTATCTTCTTCCATATACTTCTCCCATTAGCAATAGCAGACATCAGCCAATGCTTTAGGCATATTCCTGTCCCTTTTACTCTAATGGTGACAAATCAGCCGTGTTAAAGCAATTATTTTCAGAACATTGTCCAGAAGTGAATACTGTCCAGCAATCATTAAATGTCAAGCTTCTGATGGCACAGAGTAATATGTGGGACTTTGTTCTGGCTTCTTGCTTCCCGGTCAACTTTGATCTTCAAAAATTTAAATGCAATGTCAATTGTTATCTTCTGTTTTATAAATTCCTGTTTTTATTGTTTTCTTCTCCTTAATAGTAGTTTTTTTCATGCACTCTAACACCCAGTAACTCCTTGCATCCTTGTCACTTTATTGCCTTGATTGGGGTGAAATGATTAAAATAAACGGTGGACTAATTGATAGTGGCTCGGATTGAGGAATCGGAGACCAGAGTTCAAATTCGGGTTGAATACATTACATTCACTTACATGCTAATACCCTTGGGAAAGGTATGAATCCTCTTCTTCTCCATCCAGCTATGGATAAATAGCAGGACAGATCGGGTTCTATAGCCTTGGATGGCAACTGGTCTACCGCAGAAAGAAATGGCAACTTAGTGCGGGAAAAAAAATCTGCCTCATCAGTCATGTATTGAAAGATACCTGATTGCCTTAGTGTGTATCATGCATGGCACATAAGTGACTGATATATATATATATATATATATATATATATATATAATAGTAAGATGAGAATGAATAGAGTACAATTCCAATGTTCATATATTTAATTTAAAAGAGAGCTCAATACAGAGTAGATCAATATTATTTTGACACATACCAAACATGACTGCAATTTTGCAGCGATTTTTACATGTTTTAATATCCTTATATATATATATATATATATATATATATAGTGAAGTAGAGCCATTAATTATTCAGTCATACAGCATTTTTTCATATCCAACTTCCTCGTTTGCATTCTTGTGACTGACTGCTGGAATTTCATATGGAAACAATGTAAACTTGTGACATAAACATCCACACACATATAGTCCCATTTTCTGTTTGTCCTATACTAACACAATTCATTCAGTTGTACTGTAAAAAAGGATAGAAAAATATTTGTAGATCCGTGTTTGAAGATTCTTATTTCTTCATTTATACACGCATATTCCATTATAAATATATAACAAACTCTCGCTGATATGCACTGTCTTTATAAGTGTTAGATCAAGAATAGAGTATTGCTGACCAATCATCACTGTCTAGCATTGACAGAGTTCAAAAAAACTTACACGGCCTTGTGGGTGATGAATTATCCCCCACCCAACAACACTTATTCCACAGACTAAAAGGCATCATCACTTTCACTACTATATCACTATTACTATGGCAGATGTTCAGATGAGTTACATTCCTTAGTGCCATGTTCATGGTGGGGAACCATCCCCCTTTCCATTTTTGTTCATTTGGTAAAAACCAAGTTCTACTCAGACAGCATCTTTTCCAGAACTGTTACTGCTACTCTGACAAATCTTAGACTCTTTAAGTCCCTAGGGTCAACCAATATCTATTCGTTATCTTCATAATACTCTCTCAGTTCCTCCTTTTCTCTCCTTTACAATCTCACTCAACAACCCTCTACCTTGAGTGGCTCTTGGGCCTTGTATTGGGTGAACTATCAGTAAAAAATATCTTTCTTTTTAGGAGATAAAAAAAAGATAGAAACATTTATGCATGATGAGTTAAGTTGTTTTTACCAGTGTTCAACTAGTTTTGAATTCGGATTTGTTCTTCTAGACAAGTTGCTGACCAATCTACCTTGCTCAGTCAGAGAGACCAATCTACCTTGCTATTTAACCCATAGCTGGTGGGGTAAAATTGAGGAATTCTTATCTTTACTAAGGTAGTTTGTAATGAAAGCAATCATAATGGCCTTGGCTGAAATTTGAACCTGGCCAACCAATCACACTTTTTAAATAATTATTTTGCTTTTCTTAGTTGAACACGTGTCCAATTTTACAGTAAAAAAATATCTTTCTCTTAAGGTGATAAAAAAAAAATGAGAAAATTAGAAACATTTATGCATGAAGAGTTATTAAGTTAAAAAAATAAAAAAGTTTTTTTGTTTTATGAGCCGAAATTGACACATTTCAGAGTTCCAGTCACTTGATGGCATGTCTGTAAATGAGGCAAATACAGGAATAGAGAAAGACAATTCAAAATGGCAATGAATAAATCATTTCTACAATACAAGAGATGTTTAGGAAAAGAATGTCTATAACAAAAAACATTCCTTTTGCAACATGTCTAAAAATAACAACAACAAAGATGAGTATGAATGTAAATAATGATAACTCCTTATCCCAGGAATTCAGGCAGAAGGTAATCGGTTGATAATAACAACAAAGATGAGGATATTAAGCTGAACGTAAATAATGATCACTCCTCATCCCAGGAATTCAGGCAGAAGGCGATCAGGTGATAATAACAACAAAGATGTGGATACTAGTCTGAATTTAAATGATGATCACTCCTCACCCCAAGAATTCAGGCAGAAGGTGATCAGGTGATAATAACAACAAAGATGTGGATACTAGTCTGAATTTAAATGATGATCACTCCTCATCCCAAGAATTCAGGCAGAAGGTGATCAGGTGATAATAACAACAAAGATGTGGATACTAGTCTGAATTTAAATGATGATCACTCCTCATCCCAAGAATTCAGGCAGAAGGTGATCAGGTGATAATAACAACAAAGATGAGGATATTAGTCTGAATGTAAAGAATAATTCATCCCAAAAATTCAAACAAAAGTCAAAAGAGTATATCGATTTTCTTAAAATAAAAGAGATGAAACTAACCTGTGAATTTTTGAAATATTTGGACATTTCCTGTTGACTTTTTGCAAGACACTCAACATGGCATCGTAGTTATGGTAAGTTAACACCTGAACTTCTTGAAGTAGAGACATTGTTGTCTTTGAAAGTTTATTCTTTGATATCATCACATGTGTAGACATTTCATCCATGCCTATAAACAAAATAAAATCAGCTGTAGATTAATTTTCAATTCATTGGAACAGTGGTGAAAATTTTTTTTTTCCTAGTCATTTCACTCCAAGCAATGCAATAAAGCCACTAAGATGCAGGGGGTTACTGGGAGTGAAAAAGAATGAGAAGACTGAAGTGAGGAGAAAGGACAATAAAAGAACAGGTTTCAGGAAAAGAGAAGATGGTATTTGGCATTGCATTTCAATTTTTGAAGATTGTAGGTAGCAGGGAAGGAAGAAATCAAAAGGGAGTTCCTCAAGCAAGAAAAGAAACTATTAGAATAAAACAGATGGTTGCATTTAGCTACGTCATCAGTAAAATGGTGAGACCTAATTGCCAATCTAGTCACATGCTTAAATTCATGCAGTTGAGGCACCAAGAAGGAAAGTTCATCAGAACAGAAATAAAAATAGATTGTGATCCCTACCCCATCTCCATATCAGAAGGATAGTTTGTTGTCTCGGCCAAAGACCTACCTACTTACCTCCCACGAAAGTGTCACTGATATTTTCTGTCACCCACACTTTTGGTCAAGAACCCACCCAAAGATTGGCCTGTCTTTATGTTTTCAACAAATCTTTAACTTTTTTAATCTTTTAATCATTTCATTTTACCATTTTTATTTCTTTATTTTTCTTTGAATGCATTGCAGCCATAATTCACTGGGACCAATACTTCAAAATTTATCACAAGGAGCGGTGTAGTCTGACTTTAAATGTTATTTTTAGTGGATACTCATATTTGAGTAGACACTCCTCTTATTTTAGGCAATATATTTATTTTTGTCTACAGGTCTGAATATTCCAGAATCTTATTAAAGAAAAATATGCGCTTCTTGCAGGATTCAAACATGCATTCCTCTCTGCATGAGAAACCATAGTTATATCTGAAATGTATCAACTGCCTCAGCCATGAAGGGCTTTGCTGATCAAGCAAGGCCAAACATTGCCTTTAAGTGCAATCCTTCTTGTTCCAGATTCTTTAAAATTCATATCTACCCAGTTTCATATCCAAATGTAACAAAAGCAATTTCTAAAGAGGTAATCGATTTTTTTTTTTTATTTATTAATCTGAAAGATTTTTATCCCTTCGTAGCCAAGTTAATTGAAAGCATTTTGGATTGAATAGCAGTTACTCCTGTAAAAGAGAAGACTTGATAAAAACAACAATTGACAAAAGAAAGAAAAGAAAAACATTTAAAAAAAAAAAAAACAATATGAAGAGAAGGAAAATGAGAGAAAAAAGAAGAAAAATTAAAGAAAAAATGAAAGAAGGGAAGAAAAATGAAAGGAGAGAAGAGAAATGGAGAAAAAAATGAGAGAAAGAAGATAAAAAAATGCAAGAAGGGAAAGGAATGACATGAGAGAAAGAAGAGAAGGAAAATGAAAAAAGGAATAGGAGAAAAAAAGAGAAGGAAATGAGAGAAAGAATATCAGAGAAAAAAAAAGAGAAAGAAAATGAGTAAAAAAAAGAGAAAAAAATGAGAGAAGGGAGAGGAGTAGAATTAAGGAAAGAAGAAACAGAAAATGAAAGAAAAAAATGAGAGAAAGAAGAGAAGGTAAATGAAAGAAAGAAAAGCAAACATGAGAGAAAGAAGAAGGAAAAAGAAGAGAGGACAATGAGAGAAGGAAGAAGGAAAAAGAAGAGAGGACAATGAGAGAAGGAAGAAGGAAAAAGAAGAGAGGACAATGAGAGAAGGAAGAGAAGGATGGGAAGGAAAATGGGAGAAAAAAAAGGAGAGAAATAAGACAAAATGGGAGGAAGAAGAGAAAAATTGAGAAGGAATGAGAGAAGAGAAGGAACATGAAAGAAAAAAAGAGGAGAAAAATAAGACAAAGAAGGGAAAAATGCAAGAAGGGAAAAAAATAGAGAAAGAAAAAAATGTGAGAAAAAAAGACGGAAAATACAGAAAAAAATGAGAGAAAGAAGAGAAGGAAAAAGAGAAAAAGGAGAGAAGGAAAAAGAGAGAAAGAAGAGAAGGAAAAAGAGAGAAAGGAGAGAAGGAAAAAGAGAGAAAGGAGAGAAGGAAAAAGAGAGAAAGGAGGAAAAAAGAAAGAAAGGAAAAGGAAAAAAGAAAAAAGAAAGGAAAAGAGAGAAAGAAGAGGAAAAAGTCAAACTGAACCAAAGTAAAAGGTAAAACTGGAAGCAGAACAAACAAAAGAAAAAAATCTCACCTGGAGAAGATGCCATCAATGTATGAGAACCAGTGGTGAGTAAAGCAAAAAAGTGACCATTGTCAACTGGAATTGACTTCTGTTTATTGTCAATGTGTAGCGTCGCATTTGACAGTACATCTCCATTGTACAACAACTGGCCATAAACTCCTGTAATAGACAACATCAATATATATATATGGTATGATGGGTAAATTGTTACCATTTTATACTTTTAATTTCATGCATGCACATTGTTTTTGATTTTGTCAACTGCATAGTATAGTAGGGTCATTTGGGCACAACTGTGAGAAAAAGAGCACCATGATGCAATTCACTCTGCCAGAAATTTGGAAACAGCATACTACAGCTTGGTATTTGTGCCAGATGCTCCAATATAAACATTTCAGAGGACAGTGCAGAAGATTCAGAAAGAGGTGGATGAGTCTAATGGTGATTACAAAGGTACAGCAGCTTGGAAAACTCACTCTGATAAGAAAAGAACTCCCAAATTTGTTGGTGAGGACCTCAGGCTTAACACTGAGGCCTACATCAAGTGCCTTTAGGAAGTAGTACTGCTCTGGTTCAAGAGGATGGCTGCTAGAAGACCCTATGTTTGGCAACAGGACTCTGTATCATTCGACACAAGCAGGTGAACCCAGTCATGGATGTCAGACAATTTCTGCAACCTTATCACTCTTTACACCTGGCCACCTAACTCCCTAGACTGCAACCCCCATCGATTATTATGTGTGGGGCATAGCTGAATGACAGACCAACAAAACTCCTAAAACCAAAGATGAACTAAAAGCAAGGATTATGGTTGCATTCACCAATTTAAACAAAGAGACCATCCAGAAGAGATGCAGGAGATTTCGAAGTTGATTGGAAGCCATGGTTGAAGCCAATGACAATTTCATTGAATAAATTTACTCTTTAAGATATTTTTTATGTAATTTTGGTAAATATATATATTTTTCATTTTTTTTTTGTGTGTGTGTGTGCGCGCGCGCGCGCGCACAATTTAGACGACAATTTATCCATCGCACCCCATATTATATATATATATATATATATATATATATAACAAGTGTATGATTGGTGTATATGGAATAAATTCCAATCACCAACAATTACAATTCTTAAAAGAGTGCTCAATACAGAGTAGAGCAAATATAATTATTTATTTAAAAATTATAACATAAATATGTTATAAAATCACTACAAAAATATCTATTTTGTTTCAACACTTTTGGTGTCTTATCAAGTGATAATGTTGAATGTAGATTGAATGAGATGCGGTGCAATTTTCGCTTCTAGTGTCTTATATGCACGTGTTTATCGTTGCTTAGAGATCATCTATGTAAACATTCACAGACTGTCATCACTGTCTTTTCCATATATTGCTTAATATGTTGCAATTGACATCTTTGATAATGGCAAAATAATTGACATCTTTGATAAAGCCAAAAGCTTAGATTGTATTAAAAAATATGGATCAATATTGTGAATTTCTTTCTTCGTTCAATTATAATGTTATTAAACTTATTAGACGTTATGAAAAGAATTTACATAAAATAAATAGACAACACTTGTGTATATTATTTAATGAAAAGATGCTGCCTAAATACACACAAAATATATATATATATATATCATTTCACCTCAAGCAAGGCAAAAATGTCACTAAGATACAGGGGGTGGTTACTGATTTTGAAAGAATGAGAAAAAAAAACATTATTAAGGAGAGAGAATAAGAAAAAAAAAAACAGGAGTTAAGACAAGATAATGGTAAGACACAATTATGTATGGCAAACAGAGGGCCCCACCTTTGGAGGATGTCATTATTAAAATGAAATGGATAAAAACTGTAACCCTTTGTTTAAACAACAGTGAAAGAAAGTTTTTAATAGCAGTTTTTTCACCCTTTAAAATATGGGAAATATTTCTGTTGCATCCTGTATGTATTACTTATAGAAACACTTAATTTTTTTTTTTTTTTTTTAAGCGTTTCACCCCAAGCAAGGCGGGAAGCCACTAGGACACAAAGGGTTACAGAAGATTTGGAGCAAGATCAGATAGGAGTGATAGAAGAGAGGATGAGGAGAAGGATAGTGGATAGATCAAGGAAACTGGAGATGTCGATTGACATTACACTTGTATAGTTGGAGATTATAGCTCACAGGGAAACTGGAATAGGGAAGGGAGTTCCACAGGCAAGAGGTGCAAGACATGAAGCTATTGGAGTAGAAGAAACAGCTACATTTAGTAGTTTCGACAGTGAAAGAGTGAGAGCGGGATGTCAGCCTCGTAGGGCACTTGAACTCATGAAGTCTGGGAACCAGCGAATGCAGCTCCTCAGAGCAATTACCATGAAAGTATTTGTAGAACAGACAGAGAGAGAGGCGACGGCACATTTGTGAGAAAGTGACTGTAGACGAGATGCCAGAGCAGGGCCAATTATATTGCATATCCGCCTCTGGAGCCTGTCAAGAACCCCGAGGCAAACAGAAGGGGCTCCAGACCATATATGGCAGCAATACTCCATGCAAGGATGAATTGTTGATTTGTAAATGTGGAGGGTTGATTCTTTCCTAGCAGTGGACAGAGCTATTGACTGAATGTATTTGTTCCATCTTGGGTCAACAGTCAATGTGAGACCGAGCAGCCACAGAGAGGTGCTCTCGAGAAGTTGAGCATCAGACATTCTAATGGAGGGCAGAAAAGGATCTCTGTGGTGGTTAATAGAGAGCAGTTTTGTTTTTGAAGCATTAAAGTTGACCAGCCAATTCCTGCCCCAGTTCACAACCGATTGGAGGTCCTTTTCGAGACGCACGGGCAGGTTAGTTTTGTCAGTGACACTAGATTTGTTTTTACCTTTGAAGGAGACACTTCTACAAAAAAAAAAAGAAAAAAAATACCACCAGAAATGACTATGGGTGATGGAAAACTTTAGAAATCGTGTACAACAGTGTATAGTGAATAGAGGCCATCATTTGGAATATGTCCTTTTAAAAACCAAATGAATAAAAACTGTGGTCCTTTGTTTAAACAACAGCGAAATAATTTTTTTAATAGCAGTTGCCTTGGTCTTGTAAAATTAGAAGTCATTCAAATTTGAATGGGGTATAAAATATTTATCTTTGACAAATCTGGAGACTAACAATTCAAAGAGCCTTCACCATAACATATGGCAATATTTTTACAACCATTTCACCCATCAAAATTGATAGAAAATTTTGCATCATATGGAATGATGTCATCACATTTGCTAAGATTAATTTATCATTAATCATAAAAAAATCATACTTTACTTTAAATTCTAAATTATTTCACTGATATAATTATTAATATTAGAAGTGATCATCAATTTTCTCTATTTTATGATTTATAGGAAGAAAATCTTTTAGGTTTTATATTAAAATATCATTGTTAACAATGACAGTAAGAGTTATTTCCCTTGTAATTATTTTTACGATTTTCTTATTAACTGTTGACTTGAAAGCATTACGTTGTTCTCTGTGAATATAAGATTTACTATAAATAATGAATTTCCTTTCTTCTTAGATTGGCTTCGCAAACGTAGTCTGTTCACGTTTGCTACGGGCTCGCTAGCAGTTGATGAAAAGTATCTCTGAAATTACTTGCATTTTTTTTTTTAAAAAAAAAAAAAAAACTGCTGTAAGAGTTATTTCCCTTAGATTGATTTTACCTATCCTCCATTTTTTTTTTCTCTTTCCTGTAAACCTAACCTCTTAAGTTAAAACCAATCTGAAACTCGAAAAAAGACAGAGAGCTTATACAGTAATACAGTCAAGTATCTCTTTTGGCAGTTTGTGTTTAATTGATTGATTTGTGCTTTACATCTTATCAACCTTTTACTGGTTATTTAAAGCTAGAAAATATTTTTTTAGATTGTAATAAATTTTTGTAGATAATAATGATTTACTGATACATCTTAGTAATTAACTCATAGTTAGCGAGAGAAGAGGTAAATTAATAATTTTCCCAAGGGTATTTATGCATAAGTGAATATAAAAAAAAAAACCTGACTGAAATTAGAACTTGGTCACTGATTTCTAATTCCAAGTCATTACACCCCATGCACATCCAAGCTTACAGAACCTAATATTCCCAAGTGGTCACGCATATAGTTACTGACCAGGCTTGACGTTGCTTAACTATGGTGGTCTTGCAAGTCTCTGTTCATGAATGGAGAAAAAGAGAGGGTTGGATACAAGTGTGGATCTCTTTCTCATAGTATCAATATTTTTATTTATTTTTTTAATTTTGAAACACTTGTTACTCTCCTATTAGGCTAGATGTTCATGTCGTAAAAAAAGGCGTCGACAGTAGATACCCTTTTCAGCATGATGGATATATGTAAAAGAAAAAAACAAAATAAAACTGAAGCATAGGCCACATAGATTTTAAAAGGCGTAATTCTTTTTGGACAACATCACAAACAAGGAAGGTTGATTGCATGGTTATTTTATTGGCATGTCAACAACTATGGGTCATTAATTCTGAAACGGTTGGTTGATCGATTGATTTTGTTCAGTGGCATGACAACCTCCATAGGTCACTCAATGCTGAAATCCAAATACTTTGTATGCAACTTTCTGGCTTCAACTACAGATGTTTTGTAAACAATTTTATACTTTCAGGGTAAATGTATGTTTTTTTAGAGATATATTTTATAGATAAGAAGATGTATTATACTTTCTTCTATAAGTGTTGGGTAGCAGCCTACTTCTTCCAGGTAGCCTATTATTTGAGAAATGGATACATTTTTGAAAAGCATATTAAGGTTTTGTACATTATAGTATTTATTGTGCATTTTCTTGTATTTCTTGAATTCTATTTGAATTTGCTTAACAGTAAGTAATTGATCACAGGAGATTCACCAAGTGCAGTTGCTGTTTTGAGTATGTATTTATGTGTAAGGTGTGTATATCCAATTTGGACTCTACTTAGCACTGTCCTGTCTTCGATCAGGTAATGGTTCTCTGTTTTCCAGTTTGTTGTTTGGGAACGTATCCCAAATTGTCACAAACAAGGAAGAACGCAAACTCTCTCTCTCTCTCTCTCTCTCCCACACAGAATGCTGTAGAGATAAGCCATGTTTTCTTTTCCACCCTCCCAAGCATATCATATTATACAGTATGCGC